GCCTCCAACTCTGCGGTCACCATCCTCACACGACAGCCCCTCCCCACCCGTCCCCCTATTCTTCCCTCCCTTATTCCGTCCTCTCCCAGTGTAACGTTCGGGCGGAGGAGGACCTGGGGCTGAGGTGCCTGTCTGGCTACGGGAAAGCGCTCCGGCGGCTGAGCCACACCAATCAATAAGACTCACTTCTTTATTAGTACAATCACACAAAAAATATTTAAAAAGAACGCAACGATCCCGAAATTCGCCCGGCAGCAGCTCCGAGCTGCTACCGGACACACACAATAACTTCAAGCGGCAGCAGCTCCAAGCTGCCGCCGCGCACTTCCAGATAGCGCAAAAAAATACAATTACAATGACCGTTTCATTTCCAGTCATCACATTAAATATCATGGAGGGCGGGGGGAACTCGAATCAAGAGACGGAGCATTTGCATATTACAGGAAACCGAAGGGCAAATGGAGATGGCGAAGGGGGGTTCAGCCTCCAATTTCGCTTCCTTGTTACTCGCTCCTTCTTCCTTTAGCAACACGCCACCGCTCGCCTTAGCTCGGTCCCCGAGCTCCCAATCTTCCTCTTTTTCCCTTTTACTCGGCATTGTATTGTTCCAGTTATCTTTCGGTAGCTTCAAGTCCGAGATTCAAATCCTCTGTTCCAGCGAGCTCTGATTCAATCTTTACCCAAATCTCGACCACGCTCAAAACTTTCAAACCGTCCGTTACACTTCAGTTCTTCAGTTTTTTTTTTTTTTGGCTTTCCGAACTGAGATTTCTTTTTCAGCACAAAGGCTCTTTCCGTGAATCGCATCTTCTTCCGGGTACAATCGTTTGCAACTGGCAGGTCCGCCTTCTAAAGTCGCGTCTCATCCTCTTTATAGTTCCCTGTTTCTTTAATGCTTTCTTTCAACTTTCCACGGCCTGCCTTCTCATTCCAAGTCTTTGCGGCCTGTCATCCAGTGCTTCCTTTGAATTACCTCCAGCGCTGCAGTTCGTCCACACTGCGTGACGTGATTTCAATAATGCATAGCACAGGAGCTTATGCAAGCACACTCGTTCAAAAACACCTTATCCTCTTTCTGTTATTAAACTGCTGCTTACAATCATAATAATGTACACATTGAGGAGACAGTAGCTAAGGGTGAGCAATTCAAATGAAAAGCTGTCAACAAATTTTTACCAACAACACTTTAGTCCTTTCAACAACAAAAACACTTTAAAAGAAACACTTTCATGGATAAATTTTTTTTTACTGCCACTCGGCGACAAGACGCGCGTCTTTCCGACGCGCCATCCTGGAACCATTCTCCATTACACGTCTCTCGTATGTTTGCCCCCATCTAGTCCCTCCCAATGGACACTTCCTTTCAGATACTTCCAGCGGATTTTTACGTGAATGGTCCAGCTGCACTTTAAAGTCTAGCGCGCTCTTCTTGCGGCGTGTAACTTCCCCTTCTTTTACGTGTTGTAAAACGATGAACTGTTGCCATTGGGCAGGCTTTCGCCACGTGTCCTCTGACTTTACAGACAAAACAGGCAACTTCTGCGGTTAGCCTTGTCCTTACTAGTTTATTTTTCGGGTCCGGCTTGTTATCTTTTGCCAACTTTTGCACCCGAATGGTAATCAGAAGTACTTTCTTCCCCTTGGGGTGCCCAGCTTCCTCTCTTTTAACATTCGACAGGCGATGAATTGCTGCTGTCGGACAAACTCTCGCCATGTGGCCCCTGCCTTTACGGACAAAACAGGTCACCTCATCTTTTTGCGATCCCTGTTTTGAATTGCCGCCCTTTGTCCAGACTGCATTACTTCCACCCAATTTTCTTTCCTTCTCATTGCAACCTTCATCTTTTGCAGCCATTTTGCTGCTAATTTCCGGTGGCAGTGTTCCATTCTTTGGGCTACTTCGCTCTGAACCTGCAGACGTCCGAGAATACCTTTTGTGTGAGGGCGCCTTTTTTACACTCTTCCTGGCCCTCTCATACTCCAGTGCGACTATCTTCAGGCCCTTATATAGCTCCCCATTCTTAGTCTGGGATACCGCAGTGATGAACCCGGTGGCGAGGTCTTCATTTACTCGCAAAGCTTGTATCGCGATTCCACACTTCTCGTCTATGAAGTATGGGTCGCTATAAATCGAGCCAGGATAAGCTGCTGCAACCCTCCGGTCAATGTGAGCAAACAGCTCAATCAGCGGTTGCCCTTTCCTCCACTCCATCTTGCTTAAATTATTCTGCAACTCAATGCGGGTGATCCGCGAGGAATCCACTGTCGCTTTCCTCAAAGAATGTACAACTTCCTCGAATGTGCCTTTCTCCCGCACATGGGTTGGTATCCCCAAAAACGAATCCAGCGCGAGTCCCGTCAGATAGGAATGCAAGTAGCGGATTTTTGTTGCTTCCGTCTCGTATCCATACCTCATTTTAAATTCTTCAATAAAATCATTAAATTTCGCCTCATTTCTCTCTCCTTTCCCCGAATACTTTCCCAAAGGCAGGAGTTGCATCTGCATCCGCTGCGCTATCTGCAGCATAACCTGCATCCAACTTGATTTGCGGCTTTCGTCTCCCGCACTGGCTCACAGTGGTAGATCATCGGCAGAACTGTACCACTTACACGTTCCGTTCGATTCTTGGCACAAATTCGCGCCCTTTATTACTACATTAAACCCGCATTTATCACTCTTTTTACCGTATTCTATTCTGAGCGGTCACATCCATTCCTGCTCGCGCCGCCCATTCCTATCCCCTGAGTCGACGTTATGCGGCTGACCCTGTCTTCTTTCGCGTCTGTCAATATTATGCGTTTTTGCTGTGCAGCGCTATAGCAGCGCTATAGCGCTGCACAGCAAAAACGCATATTGT